TCAAAGTGTATCATACTGCATAAAATGCCAACCGCAGTTTGCTAAAAATTGTCTTTTTTTAAATCTCGAAGTGTGACCGATCCTCCATCTGTATTCGCGAAGGTGCAGCAGATACGTTAGGTTGTGATTACATTTTTCTGAAATTTTAAAGTGGAAAATGTGGTATGTACAACAGAAACTGTTAGCCTAGTCAAGTAAGCACTTATATTTAAAGGCAATGCTTTGTGAGTCCTGGACAATCGGTAGGCAGGCCAAACAATTTCCTGAGTCCTTAGATACGTTGTTTTACAGAGCAATGCTTAAAAAACCCTGGACAGCCAAACAAAACATAAAAAGCAACCTAGAGGTTTTGAAAGAGGCGGGAGCCAGAAGACAACTAATCACAGACATCAGAAGGAGAATGTCATAATTTTTCGGCCATGTTATGAAAAGAGGAAAAATGGAACATGTGGTGACCACTGGAAAGATCTGTGGAAGGAGGGATAGAGGAAGACAACGAGAGAAGATTCTTGACAGTCTTGTTGCATGGAATGGAGGTGTGTCAGCACACGAACTAATACATGCTTCAGGAAATCGCAGATTGTGGCTAGGCATAATCGCCAAGCCAGTCGGCAAATCACCTGATGATGATGATGATACACTATTCGTATTCGGCCGAATAGTTGGTCCCACTATTCGTATTCGGCCGAATAGTGAAAATCACTATTTAGTACAGCCCTAGTAATAACTATCTGTGACAGACAAGTGGCAGAAATGTGTACATTCTGCAGACCAGCAATAAACGCAAGATCAGCTGCATGGTATACTTAAAGTGTAAAACAATTCCGGTCTAAGAGTTTACTGTCGCCCGAGTCCGATGTCATAATTTCGTTGGCAAGTATGCTAGTTTTCCCGTCAGATCCGGATACCTGCTAGTTTAGCCACGTGCTGATTTAGCCACATGCTAGTTGGCAGTTAGGAACAGCGCCAGTAGCGCTGACAAGCATAGGACAAGGCTTAGATCCTTCAACGACCCTCTGTTGGGAACCTCCACATCTGAAAGAAAGCAAGAAAACGAATTAGCTGCAGAAAATAACTGGAATCTTTTTTCATATCTACTTTCACATCTCACAGGCGAAGATGTTCCAGAAAACAAACCCTTGGCTCCATTAAACTCTCAGATGAAGCGAATGGACGTTGCTTCGCGCAAGCCTGGCATATAACATCAAAACGTCTAGCTTGAGAATGGAGCTGGAGGCAGTCACTGCTGCCCTCCAGTGCGTTGAGAATAAGCTGTACAGAAATGTCGTAAATGTAACTAACTCACAGGGTGTGTTGAAAAAAGGCGGAGACAGGCATGCTCCGTGCAGAGTAGCAAGCATCGCTTCATGGGTCCTGGGTGATTAGCGTCCTTTGGATATTTTCTTCAGGTGTTGCTGGTGTGTCCTGAAACGAGCAGCCAAATATACTGGCTGGTTCTGTAGCACTTGTTAGTGAATTCGTGTATGACAAGCTACATAGCCCTTTTGGAGCGTGTGAGCAGAGCGGAGGCACAAATACATCATTACGATTTAGGGAGAATGGCGCTGCAAGGAGTTGGCAGGGGTTCCCGCGGACGAACGATGCTAAAGATAAAGGCGAGACAGATGTACAATCAGACAGTTACTGGTACCATCGGAATTGGAACTCTTTACTTGCTGCTGAAAACGAGGACGGAGCACTTTTGATATCGTTTCTTAATTCAACATTCAGCACTTCACAGAGCGGTTATCACGCTGTGTTACAGATTTCAGCAAAACAAAACATTAGTCGCCTTTTGCGAAATGCTTCGTAGTTGGGTCTGGAAAGAGGATGCAAGGGGGGGGGGGGGGGGTGGCTTATCTCTTTCTCTCCCCTCCCCCCAATGGTGACCCGGAAAGGAGAACTATAATCTCATTATATATTTGATTGTGGTTGGTAGAATGTAAAACTAAAGTAAATGTTCCTTTTCCACGCTTTTATGTGTATAGGGCATATAAGGCTAGAAGTATATTTTTATAGACTAATCGGCCCAAGATAGGTGAATGTGGTTAGCATCACGCCAGCCGCCTTTACTTCCCGGGACTGCACCCGGTATCCACTCAAGGCTGGGTTGACCTGGGAGTCAAGGTCATTTTTTTTAAAAAGTCCGGCTCCTCCAGGTAGCGAACCCACGACCTTCCGATCCGCACTCGAGCGACTAGTTGCTACGCAACGGCGACTCCCGGGGCATAATGAGCATACCAATAATAATGACACTAGTACTTGTTAGGTGCGTATACGTCTTATTTCCAAGGAAAGAATAGCGGCTAAATATGCAATCAGAGTCTATGGCGCTACTTTATGACAAGTACGGAAATTTAAGTATCTGGGCACATAGATAACATCCGATTTAATACAGAGATAAAGAACAGAATAGGAGAGGCCAAAACTGCATTTAAAAAAAATAAACATTTTGTGTAAAAAATCCATTTCATTGGAGGTTAGGAAATAAATTCTCGCAGGCCGGTTTAAACATACGGCTGTAAATCATGGACAATTAATAAACAAGCCGAACAATATCTTGAGGCTTCGGAGATGTGGTTTTACAGAAGAATCCGTATAATTCCTTGGACAGCTAAGAAGAGTAACCCAAATATTTTAAAAGAGGCAGGTGCTCGAAGGCAACTTATCATAAACATTAAAAAGAGTCAGTCATAATTTGTTGGTCAGGATATGAACTGATACACGCAGTTGCGGATCGCAGATTGTGAAGAGGTATGATCGCCCACGCCAGTCGACAAGGCACTTGATGATGATGATGATGATACGCCTTATTCTTATAGTCTATGCTGTGTCTGGTTGGTAAGGATATCTGTCTACAATCTTCTATCTCGTGTACTATTAATACATTTTTATAGCAATATTACTCCGCCACGCCTCCCCTCCCCTTGCTATGACGTCAAAGTGTCTAGCATTGTCTATCGTCTTCCCCACGGACATTCTCTGATTTTCCTTGAGTATAGTTGAGTTAAGAGCTGACATCACAACACTCGGGGCATTCTCATACGCGCTCCGTCCTCATCCTCAGCAGCCAGCGTAGAGTTCCAATACTGATGGTACCGGTCACAATCTGGTTATATGTCCGTCTTGCCTTTCCTTTGAGTGTAGTGAACCGGCCAGACCCTCTGGTTTCACTCTATGTGCCTCATTCTCTCCAGACCATAATAATCTTGTTTCTCTGCTGATTCCGTTGCTTGTTCCTAAAGGGCTGCTTTTCCTTTCCTATCGACATAAGCAAAGACTGTCGACCGTTTACTTCATCAAACAACGTACTCCAATATAATCCTATTACAACGACCACATAATTAAACTGGTCTCTTTTTAATACTTTAGTCAGTTGTTTTCTAAGTAAATACACTTATATACAACAATGATCAATCAAGCAAGTGCCGTCTCCTGAATGTGGGTGAGTGATGATTAGTAGAGGGACCTTTCAGAGGCGGCCAAGCCGACTGAGTTAACATTAAATTATCTTCACGAAGCAAGAAGAGATTCCATCAAAGAATAGCTATTTACTGCAGCTTGGTAGTGTTAATGTTACTTACTGCAGCTGTGTAGTGTTACTTACTGCAGCTGTGTAGTGTTACTTACTGCAGCTTGGTAGTGTTAATGTTACTTACTGCAGTTGTGTAGTGTTACTTACTGCAGCTGGGTAGTGTTAATGTTACTTACTGCAGCTGGGTGGTGTTAATGTTACTTACTGCAGCTGGGTAGTGTTAATGTTACTTACTGCAGCTGGGTAGTGTTAATGTTACTTACTGCAGCTGGGTAGTGTTAATATTACTTACTGCAGCTGGGTGGTGTTAATGTTACTTACTGCAGCTGGGTAGTGTTAATGTTACTTACTGCAGCTGGGTAGTGTTAATGTTACTTACTGCAGTTGGGTAGTGTTACTTACTGCAGCTGGGTAGTGTTAATGTTACTTACTGCAGCTGGGTAGTGTTAATGTTACTTACTGCAGCTGGGTAGTGTTAATGTTACTTACTGCAGCTGGGTAAGGTTAATATTACTTACTGCAGCTGGGTAGTGTTAATGTTACTTACTGCAGCTGGGTAGTGTTAATGTTACTTACTGCAGCTGGGTAAGGTTAATATTACTTACTGCAGCTGGGTAGTGTTAATGTTACTTACTGCAGCTGGGTAGTGTTAATGTTACTTACTGCAGCTGGGTAGTGTAAATGTTACTTACTGCAGCTGGGTAGTGTTAATGTTACTTACTGCAGCTGGGTAGTGTTAATGTTACTTACTGCAGCTGGGTAGTGTTAATGTTACTTACTGCAGCTGGGTAGTGTTAATGTTACTTACTGCAGCTGGGTAGTGTTAATGTTACTTACTGCAGCTGGGTAGTGTTAATGTTACTTACTGCAGCTGGGTAGTGTTAATGTTACTTACTGCAGCTGGGTAGTGTTAATGTTACTTACTGCAGCTGGGTAGTGTTAAATGTTACTTACTGCAGCTGGGTAGTGTTAATGTTACTTACTGCAGCTGGGTAGTGTTAATGTTTACTTACTGCAGCTGGGTAGTGTTACTTACTGCAGCTGGGTAGTGTTAATGTTACTTACTGCAGCTGGGTAGTGTTAATGTTACTTACTGCAGCTGGGTAGTGTTAATGTTACTTACTGCAGCTGGGTAGTGTTAATGTTACTTACTGCAGCTGGGTAGTGTTACTTACTGCAGCTGGGTAGTGTTAATGTTACTTACTGCAGCTGGGTAGTGTTAATGTTACTTACTGCAGCTGGGTAGTGTTAATATTACTTACTGCAGCTGGGTAGTGTTAATGTTACTTACTGCAGCTGGGTAGTGTTAATATTACTTACTGCAGCTGGGTAGTGTTAATATTACTTACTGCAGCTGGGTAGTGTTAATGTTACTTACTGCAGCTGGGTAGTGTTAATGTTACTTACTGCAGCTGGGTAGTGTAAATGTTACTTACTGCAGCTGGGTAGTGTTAATGTTACTTACTGCAGCTGGGTAGTGTTAATCTCAGCTTCTCTTCAGTTACAAACTTCTGCACCTACAGTTTTTAAAAAAAAAAGACAAATTAAATTATAAATTATAAATAGTTCACAAATATTAGTGGGTGTGTGTGTGTGTGTATCTGTGAGTGTCTGCCTGTATACACGAGTAATCGAATTAACTGCCAACAGGCTTGGGCGACTATGCTTATTTACATCAGTGATATCCAACAACATGCATCAGTCATCGTTGTTGGTTCAAATGCTTATATACCTCTCGATAAAAGGATGTCAAGAGTATTCTGGCATCGTTTCTCAAACTCTCATTCTCAGGGATCGGCCTCCAAATAAATGACAGCTATCCTGTCTAATTGTGATATGCTGTCTCCTTTACCCAAATACCGAGAATCTTCGTTTTAGGTGACCAAACAATTTTTTTAATTCGTTGACAAATTCAGATTTATAAAGTGTCAGTGTGTTGATGGCGATGTTGTTGTTTCTTGCTTAATAGTTGTTAAGTATCCACAATGACATAAACTGGTTCTTGGTAAACTGGAGAATCCCAACCCCCCCCCCCCCCCCCCTTCCCCCCCCCCCCCCCATCACCACGCCCTAGGTGACTCATTCTATGAAATGCTGTTGTAATTGTCGTACTCCGTTGTTTATCTCTGTAACAGATCTTAAAACCACCACTATGAACACTATTACTACAGTTGAACGGCGTCTACTGCTACTACTGTTGCCGTTGTTGTTGCTGCTACTACTATTACTGTCTAATGTAGACAGTAAATCTTTTCAGTCTTCTTTTGCGCTTTTGCAAAGCACTTTCCATATTTAATCTAATTTCTAAATTAGTCTTATGTGTAGAATATTTGGAACTGAATAAATTTGTAAAATGTGAATATTAGGAATGGATAATTTACCTCTTCTCTATTCAATTCACACGAATCTTGCTTTATCTCACAAGCGATAAAGTCGTTGAGATCCCTGAAATACAACAATTTTGTCATTTAGCTAGCCCAGTCCCAGAGTGAAGTTACTTTATCTAGTTACACACGATGCCACTGTTACTTCAAAATAATCAATGTTGTAGCATAAATAAGTCAAAGGTTCTAATTCGCCAGCAAAGCTAGATTCATATTTTTTATAGACCAATCGGCGCACGTTTGGTGACGTGAACATGGACAGCATCTCGCTCGCATGTCGCCTTTACTTTGTATGACATTATCCTGTATAGGCAGGGTCGAGCTGGGAGCTAATGTCAGTTTCAACCCCCCTCCACCCTCCCTTCCTCCCCAATACTGACTCATTGTAGACTTGAACCCAGACAATCAATATTGCAACTCAGGTTATTAAACTAATAAGTGTCAAGTCAGTTAGTCAATGAAGGCTCCACTTTCACTGCAAACAGGTCTTCCCATAGCTGTTCGGTTCCTCTGCCAGTGGAAATCCTATAGAATGTCCTCCCCCTCTTCCATTTGAAAAAAAATAGTGAAAAAGTATCAGTCCAAGCAAAATCTTGAAGCTTGTACATGCAAATGAAATACTTAAGGGCAGCCGTCAGATGTGCCAACACTAACAATCTTCTACCAGGATAGCAGCTCACTGTTGATGTTAGCACTCAATAAAGAAAGCCGGCATTGAATACACAAGAAACGCAATTGGAGCTCTCTCCCCCCCCCCCCCCCCCCCCAACCATATTTTGAGTGCAGTTCGCAAAACAAAACCGCCAGGGGTACAACATTAAAAAATATAAATACACTATATTGACCAAGAGATGAAGCAAAATCTACAGCAGCGTGATTTACTGTAACAACAGAAAGAAACCGCAGTGGTTAAGAAAAGCGTTTTGTAATGGAGTATTGCTTGGTGCAGAATTATTTTAACAATCGGCTTTATGTCTTATTTTTTTTTTTTTTTTATAAATCAACATGATGGGAAACACAATAAGAACATACGACGATGTATCTCGCAGGAAAAAATTCCTTCAGCATGTGTTAATTTAAGCAACGTAAACAAGAAGCCAGTGATTACACCTTTCTATGATCCGATGCCTTTCGATTTAAACAGTCTCCCCACAGAAATTAATTAGTTCACGTTCCATTGATAGCTTTCTTTGACAGGTCTTACCTGTTGGGGGTTACGGGTGTGCCGCTCTGTTGTTTTCTATCTGTGTTGTCTTGCATTTAAATTTAAATTACCAGAAAGAGGATGCCTGTGTCATGGGTTTTATCACTATCTTTGTTAGACCAGGTATGTCAATGTTTTTGTAGTGTTAAAGGCACTGGAAGGCTGAAATATAGAAGCGAAAGCAACGGCATTGGGGAACACCCCCGTCACCTTGTGTGAAGGTCGGGTCGCTCAAAGTCGACCAATCAGAAGTGACCTAGGCTGAAGATCGACAAATATAGCACTGTTTGAATGGGAGGACTATTTTTACTTTTACCACCTGCTCGATGTACGACGATAGCCTAAAAGTTTTAAAGACCAGCCAGGATTTAGTGGGTGATGTGATGGATATCATGTCGACTACATTGACTTCCCAGAATATTTGCAGCTACCCGTCTATGTCACTGTATTATTGCAAGAGCCGCAATACCATTTACGCCATCAACTGCACGAGATGTGGCATGAAATACATCGGTGAAACAGGTCCACGGCTGGCTGACAGATTAAGGCAACATCTTTTGGATGTGCAGAATGGTGTTCTGAAACTAGGACCGTTGCATTTCAATTCTCAGGATCACCAAGGTGTCCTCGACATGGAGGTGACAGCCATTACATCTAGCCACTCCAGGGAAAGAGTCCGCAAGTCTCTCTGTAAATCGACTTTTTTTTTAAATTTAGGCACTTTAACACCTAGGCGACACGCTGTCCACACAGTTTCATCTAAAATTCTTAAAGGGTCACTACACGGCATTTTTTCCAATTTATGACAAAATATCACTTTTTCAAAGTGTTCGTTTTTGTAAAGTTCTGCATTCGTAGAATAGATTACACACAAAATGTATGTCACTTGTAAACAATTTATCTTTGAAAAGTTAATACTAAAGGCACCAACCCATGAACTTTTTTAAGATAAAAAAAAAGTTTGTAAGTCAGTTTTCTCACATCTCTATATTTCTGTTTGTTGTGTGTGTGAAATCATAAAATCTCAGCTAATATAATGACTAGAAACATAAAATTTAGTATGAATACTCCTTTAACAATATTATAGGCACCGGTATTTTTCAAAGTAGATTTTAGAAAGTTGTTGTTTTTTAAAATTTGATTATTGTCTTTTGATGCAAGATATTTTTGACTTTTCCAATAAAACTACATTATAAAATTCTACGAAAAATATTTAAAAACATGTTTAAAGTAAATAAACCACACCTGTACTTATAAAAAGGACTGACTGACTTTCTAACCCACCAGGACATCACACAAGCGATAAACACCCGATGACACAAAGTGCCACCACGCGAATGAGGATCACCGTGGAGAGGTCCCGGAAACCGCGTTCAGACAATTGGCCATATTTATGGCCTGCCTATATTGCGGCCCCTGGGAAAAGCCAGAATGGGGCTTCAAAAAACAAAAAATTACGTCCTAAGAAGGACGTAATTAATACGTGAAGCAAATATAAAAAGGATAAAAAGTCATGAATCTATCATCTATTATTTAATACGTATGTTTGTTTTTGAAATTGTAGGATTCTAAGTACATGTTATTTTTTCCTCCAAGATGGCGCCTATTGCCATGACAACTATGATTTTTTCCCACTATAAGTATGCAAATGTAATAACATGTATCCCTTAAAATGACCATTATAAAATAATTGCTCTAACTCTGTTAATTAAAAAAAAGTATTTTTTAGGCGTAGTGACCCCTTAAGTTACGGCCCTTGGATTCCACGGCTATTTATTCTCAAGCACAACGTGTCTCTTTATTCTACTCTTTATCTACGTGGCTGCATCTGGATACGTCTGTTAAGTGATTTTATGTATTTGTGCAGTTTTGTTTGATTTATGTATATGCCGATGAAGGCTTTATAACCGCAACGTTCACGTTTGTTTGTATTTCTGATGTTGTGAAGCTCGCTGATCTACTTTTCGTTCGGTTTCATATCTTTCTATGTCATTTTATTAAAACATTTCTTTGACTGGGATTTGAACGCATAATTGCGCCACAGCCACTGCACTGAAACTTTTCCTTTTGCAATATAAATTGTATCAAAATCGCAGATAACAAAGAGGAATGGTCATGGTTGCCATTGTTTGCTCTGGATGAGGTACTCGACAAAAGACTGGATTAAAAATGTGTGAGCAGTTCTTTTTCTTCTGCATCGACATCAATCACACTAAAGACTGAGTCCTGTCTGGGTCACAAGCATGACGGCACGTTTAAGGCTGCAGCTGATCCTCAACAGCTTGTCTTGTGTAGCAGGCTAGCAAAGCCTGCTGATAATTTGTGTTTGCCCTTCCTTGTGAATAAAACTGGCAGACTTGGAACTCTCCTGAAATGGAGAAGACGCGGCAATTTAAAAAAAAAAAGGGGTGGGGGGGGGGGGGGGGGGACGCTTTGAGTTTGGAGCTAGTGGTTCCATGTTATCCCTATTGTGAGTTGAATTTTTTCGTTATTTGAAGCCCCACCCTGTCTTTTGCCGGGGCCCCTAAATATAGCAGGGCCATAAGTAGAGCCTAACGGTTGAAGAGGGTTTCTGGGACCACCCCACAAGTGATTCTCATTCGCATGGTGGCACTTTGTGTCACCTGGTGTTAATTGCTCTGTGTGATATCCTGGTGGGGTACAACTTACATAGACTACTTTGGAGCTAGTTTGGTCTTGCGTTGGTTTTGACAGTGGTACCGAGGGCTGACCGTCCAGAAAGCAGTGGCAAGCTACTGAACGTAAAATTTGGGGAAAACACAAAAAAACCACAACAGCCCCCCCCCCTTTTTTTTTTCCCTCCCGCTCTCAACAAATGCTGGGGTTGGATCTGCAACGTCCTGTAAATGATAGGCAAGTAACCTAAGGAGTCGATCGCATTGAAGGAGTAATGAACTATAACTTACTGACACAGCATGATCACCATGTCAATGTAAGCGTTCAGGCAGGTCTCCCTCTTCAGCTGGCACTCTGGTGGCAGATTTGAAGATTATACAAGTTATTTTCCCCCCACTACTTGTTGTAATGTTTTGTTAAAGTTACTTTATATATATATATATATATATATATATATATATATATATATATATATATATATATATATATATATATATATATATATATATGAACAGCATTAACAGTCTTTGGTTAAGCACCAGCAAGGTTATCACAATTAAAACTGTGAGATGTAGCTGTTTTGTGAGAAGAATGCAAAGAGTATCACGGAATGATTGAAAAACAAACAAGGTAGTTCTCGAGGCGGATGAAAACTGCAAACTGAATAGAATAATTAGACATAGAATAATTAGACATAGAATAATTAGAGGCAGACATTCGTTTTTGTTTGAGTTAAAGTTATGAGAAGGAATGGCCTTGAGAACTTGGTTACCAATGGTAATATCGGTGAAGGAAAAAGAGTAAGGGAAAGGCAAAGAGAAAAATACTTGGATAGTTTAGGCATGTGGAGAGGGTGAAACAAAAAAGAACATTGATCTGATATGTAATTCTGGTGATCGTGTGAGTTGAAGAAATGGCAGCTTACGCTTATCGGCACGGCATCTAATGACGAGGTTGTTTTTAGGTCTTGTAAAAAGATTACTTGACATAAGATGGCAAGACAAGATCACAAACATTGCGGTGTTTGAATGAATCTGGTCACACAACAGGTTCATCAGTGCTCAGTATTTGAAGACTCAGATAGCTATCATTCACTTGGAGAATGGAGTGTGGAGAATGGTGGAGTGGCTATGGACATCCTCTATGGTGATTTGCAGATGGGTAGAATATATCAGGATCGGCCTTTACTATGACTTGAAGATGTGTAAAAACGGGACATAAATGATACAGGTATTGGGGTGAATTCGTGGGAAATGGAGGCAATGGATTGCAATGTATGGAGGAAGAATCAGGAAGTCAATAGGGGCGACGAAGCAATGCATTACAGACAGCTTAAGAACTGGGCGACTGAGAAAAAATGAGCCATATACACGTGATGGCAACAATGATCATGGAATCTCATGCATTTTTGTGTGGAAGAATGCTCTTAACGAGCGCTGGTCTTGCTAATTACACTTGCCAGCTCCATGGGATGTGATTCCCGTCCCCCCCCCCCCCCTCCTCCCCCGTACCAGAATGGAGCACTATCATCTATAAAGACGGGAAAGGCCAGCAACACAATAATGGCATCAGTTTAAACCAAAAGACATGCAACAATAGAACACAGAAGATACATCAGTAAATACGAAATAAAACATTAACATAATCTACAAATCAGTAAAACAAGACGCACAGTAATACAGGACATACACCAACAACACAGGCCATATATCAGCAGTTTAAGTGATGAAACAATAGCGATATATACATATATATATATATATATATATATATATATATATATATATATATATATATATATATATATATATATTGCTCGCTAACAGTCAAGAGCCACTTAGAAAAGCCTTGGTTGAATAAAACAAACTTGATATTAAATTAATTAATATCAGTTCTTCTTCTGCGTTCGACATCAGTAATGCTAAACATTGAGTCCCGTCTGGGTCACAAATAGGATTGTGCCAGGGTTCTCTGTTGTGTCTCCGTCTGGGCATCTTTTGAAGTGATCCCTGGTACCTTTAGGACTGCATTTGCATTCTCTGGCTTGCTTGTCCATGGTTCTGGCCTAAGTTTTTCGCTCAGAGCTACATCTTTTTCAAGCAGATCTTGGTGATGTCTGTACAGTTCTCTAGCAAGGTGGTTGGGGCTCTGACGCTTCAGTTTGTTTTTTGTTCTCTCTTGACATTTAAAATGCAGTGGGTGACTTTGAAGTCTTTTTAATTTCTCATACTGTAAAAGAGTTTTGTATTGTATTAATATCAGTGAAAACGACATTTATTGGACACAGAACTGAGAGGTCAGGTGAGGAAATGGAAACACGCTTTCAAACGCAACAAAGCTGTGAAAGGTACCACCCACCTTTCCAAATCCACTCTACTGATATCGGAAATTTAGACATTTCAAAGCTGGATGTGACCACCGTTTGCAGAAAGACATTTATAACGGCGTAGACGCATCGAGTAAAAAAAGGTCTGAAGAGTATCATGAGAAACAGCCTGCCTTTCCTGAAGCAGAAATTTAGTCAGCTCTGCAACATCCGGTTAGCGGGGGTGATTTGTTGACATTCACCAAGGACATACCAGAGGTGCTAAGTCGGAGAGAGGTAGGATGAATGAGCTGGCCACACTATTCTGATGATCTCATGTTGCTGAATAAAGTCATTCACTATACAAGCTTGACGTGGTCAAGCGTTATCATCATGAAGGATAGCTATACTGCCTATGACCTCCAGAGCAGACTGAACAATTGGTCTCAAGCTTCTGTTCTGATATCTTGCACCGGTTAAGTTGCCTTTAATTATATAGAGTGGGGTCCTGCAATGTCTGTTGTAGTCTCCCTAGACCATGACAGAACCCCTACCATAACAACCCACCTCTCGGATTGTGTCTCTAGTAAATTGCTCTCCTGGCCGTCTCTTAACTGAAATCCCGCCATCATTGAACAACATACTAAAGGGAGATTCATCAGTGAAGTAGACTGACTTCATTGTAGCTTCATGCTTCTGATGTGCTCGCGACGCCAAGCAACACAGGCACTGCGATGAGCAGGGGTAAGAGCGATTCTGGCTATTGGACGTCGAGAAGCCGCCCGAATTCACGTACATTTCTGCAAATGGAGTTTTGATTTGAATTGATTCAAGAACCGACATCACAGCACTCGGGGCATTCCCATAAGCGCTCTGTCCCCATCTTCAGCAGCTAGCGAAGAGTTCCGATACTAATGGTGCCAGTAGCATTCTTGGTGCTTTCACCAATATTAACGTTTACAGTTTGTCTCAGCTGACAGAGTGGAACAAGTCACTGTTCGCTGGTTCAGAGCTGACAGAGGTACCGGTCATCATGTCTAGTGGTGCATCTAGGGCAACCTGACCTGTGACGATCCTTCAGACTTTCTGTGGCCTGAAATCTCTCCAACATTCAAGTAAAGGAAACCACTATAAGCTCACGTTATAGTCCTCATTCTTTGAAAGTTGTCAAGACTTCTTCCCGCTGGCACGGTTTTCGTAGGTGATGAAACAACCCGAAGTCTGCTGGTTGGTAAACTAAAATAAATTACATTAAGAGTGAACTCAGTTTAAAAACAGTCGCAATTGCACGTAGAATGTCGGTCAGAACAATTACTTTTTTCCTGTTGATTGTACGGAAGGTTAAACAAAAAAATTTATAATATGAATTTATGGTCAGCAAACCAAATTGAGCGTGGTCACTATGGTTGTCAGTGAGTTGTTTTTATGTTTCAAGTACATCTGTCATAGGAAGATATTTCACTCAATTTTTTTCCGTTAAAACTACAAACCTACTTTATTTAATCATCTTTCGCCCTTATATAAAATGGTATAAGTGTATTGAAAATAATAGGGTGTACCTTGACTTTTGACGAGTAGTATGCATCAGTAATGCAAGAGATACGTCAGTAAGATGAAAGATACCAAAGTAGTGCAATACATACAAACAACAGTAATACAACATATGCGTCAGTAATACAAGCGAGACATCATTTATATAAGAGATACAACAGTAAAACAATGAATACAAAAGTAACATAGGCATGACATCATTTATGTATGAGATACAACAGTAAAACAATGAATACAAAAGTAACACAAGCATGACATCATTTATATAAGAGATACAACAGTAAAACAATGAATACAAAAGTAACATAGGCATGACATCATTTATGTATGAGATACAACAGTAAAACAATGAATACAAAAGTAACACAAGCATGACATCATTTATGTATGAGATACAACAGTAAAACAATGAATACAAAAGTAACACAAGCATGACATCATTTATATAAGAGATACAACAGTAAAACAATGAATACAAAAGTAACATAAAACGCGAACCCAAAAAATTGCAATTGCTGCTTGCATTTGCCACTTTTGCGGTGTAAGCGGGGGAAGGGGGTGTAAGCAAGGGAAGGGATGGGGGCGTTCAACCTAAGGATTTGGCAGTGGCCACGAACTGTGCGGTTAGAATTTTTTTAAATCACCCCAGGTCCAGAAGGCAAAAAAAAAAAAAAAAAATACCAACACTACAAAGGATTCCAGCCTGGCACTCCGACATGAGTGTTCGGTGTTCTTAACCGTTCGGCTAGTTCCGCCAGCCAATAACACCAGCGATAGCTAGTTACACTGGTGACATAATAGAGAACTCAGACAGAGATTACAATAAACAATTAATTAAAACTGTACTCACCCCTGGAATACTCTCTATCTATACAGGAAGATACAAAAATTGGATTAATTTGTAAATAATTTTTAAAACGTATTATTACTACTAACATAGGAGCCCTGTTGTGCAGCGGCTAGTTGCTTGTGGATCGCAAGGTCGTGGGTTCAGATCCTAAACGGAGGACTTTTTTTCACAAAAGTCCTGGCTCTCGCAGGACTTCAGGTTGCTTCGTAACCTTCTGCTGCTGCTGCTGCTGCTGCTGCTGCTGCTGCTGCTGCTGCTGCTGCTTCTTCTTCTTCTTCTTCTTCTTCTTCTTCTTCTTCTTCTTCTTCTTCTTCTTCTTCTTCTTCTTCTTCTTCTTCTTTTTCTTCTTCTTCTTCTTCTTCTTCTTCTTCTTCTTCTTCTTCTTCTTCTTCTTCTTCTTCTTCTTCTTCTTCTTCGTTAGTCCTCTTTTATTGCTTCGGGTGTCGAGGGAGATATAAGGTCCTAAGTCGTGCTTTTCTGGCTGCTTCGACCATAAACACATCGTGGTGCTGTAGAGTTTCTCTGATGTTATCTTCCCATTTTGTTCTTGGTCTACTTCTTGCTCTACGTTCCTCTCCTCTTTTGGAATATGCCTTTTATGGTATAGCATCAGAAGGCATTCTGTCCAAGTGGCAAACCATTTAATTGGCTCTTTGTATGTAATTTAGAACTGATTCAGTGCCGACTTCATCTCGTATGACCTCATTCATGATTTGATCTCTTCTGGTCGGGGGCGCTAATATAACCCTACAGCTAAAGGGGGTTTCTGGAACTTGCGCCTTAGGAATTTTCATCCAGATGGTGGCACTTTGTGTCACTGGGTATTAATCGCTCGTTGTGCTGTCCTTGTGTGGTTAAACGTTAAACTACATTTTTGTAGTTTTTGTCCTGGGAAGTAAAGGCGGCAAGTGCGGTGTCAACTATTTAATCCATTGAGGTACATTTAATATTCCTGGCGCGCAACTGGCACACAAGTAGTCCTTACTATATGTACTACTAATATCATCGTTGTGTTAATTTAAAAAAAAAATATCAGCCTGAAAGACTGCCATATGACTCAGGAAGTCACTATTAGAATCAGAGTCAAACGTGAACAACATCTGAGAAACCCGTTTAACGGTATCAAACAGTTACATTTGGACACCTTAAGGTTACTTCTTTGTCTTCTTCTCATTCACCGGCTGTAAACTCCGGCTGGAAATTTTGGGTTTTCCTCTACTTCTGAACTTAAGTGGAAAGTGACTAATTAGTGGCGTTTTCTTTACAAGTTGGAGTGCATCAGCCTGAAAGGCGAGAAAGCAATACTTTCCATGTAAATAAGCCAGTCTTTTTAAAACAGAAGTGCACGCAAAACTCAAGTTGGGGAACAAGACTGAGAAATGGACCATCAACCAGCAAACTTTACATAGTGTGAATGCAAAGAACTAGAAAAAGAAAAAGAAGAAGAAGAAGAAGAAGAAGAAGAAGAAGAAGAAGAAGAAGAAGAAGAAGAAGAAGAAGAAGAAGAAGAAGAAGAAGAAGAAGAAGAAAAAGAAGAAGAAGTGTGTGTGTGTGTGTGTGTGTGTGTGTGTGTGTGTGTGTGTGTGTGTGTGTGTGTGTGAAAATGGGAACGTCAGCGAAGAGGACCGGGGGATGAGGCAATAGCCAGATTCTGATCACCTTTACTTTGGTGAATGAGAAAAAGTGTATACATATCACAGCCCACTATAACTTTTTATACTTTTGTTATTATTATTAGAAAAATATAATAATAATGAAAGTAAAAATATATACCACACTAATTTATCTTCAAAATGATAAAAAAAAAAAAAACGGTTTTCAAATTAATGAAACCATAGTTTAATTTGTGTGTATACCTACTCGATAAACATAGTGAACACACACCGGCCCCTCGGAGTTGCACAAAAACGGGAACTTCCATTGACCTAGATTACCTTATAAAAAGCTATAGTGGGTCGTGGTGTATATATATATATATATATATATATATATATATATATATATATATATATATATATATATATATATATATAACATGCCTGCAATATCTACGAAGTGTAGATAATCACTTGTCATCCTGTTTTACTGTGCTATAAACTTGTAAACATAAACACCTATCCTATAACTGTTGTCCGATTACCCCTACCAGTACTTGATTTTTAGATTGTGAACTGTATTCTTCTTTTATACAATGTTTTCAATGTTGGCTAACACTACATTACAGATAAGACAGGTACTCACCCTTGGGAAAACGCGTTCCAAGTTCTGAAATAGAGAATCAATACTACTTAACAAAGAGCCTTGTGAAATCATGCTATCTGACCCAAATCTCTTTCTATAACCCCCGAGTTGAATTTTTTAAAATATATATAAATGTGTGTGTGTGAGAGAGAGAGAGAGAGAGAGAGAGAGAGAGAGAGAGAGAGAGAGAGAGAGAGAGAGAGAGAGAGAGAGAGAGAGTGCGCGTGTGTATATGTGTACGAGTGTATTTGTATGGGTACATGTATGTGTATATATGTGTGTGTTTTCTAGTGTATATATGTGTGTATACGTTTGTGTCTGTGTGTATATAAATATATATATATGTGTGTGTGTGTGTATGTGTGTGTGCGCGAGCGTGTGTGTGTGTATTTGTGCAAATATTCCCAGAAAGGAAAATGTCCCTAAAATGAGTTTTCAAACTGTACTGCCTCCAAACGACTTTATTTACGTTCATAAAGAAACAAGTCAGAACCTACTAGTTTTTACATAGTCGGGTTGTACCATCTATGTATCACCCACTAGTTTTTGAATAGTCGGGTTGTACCACCTATGTATCACCCACTAGTTTTTAGTTTTTGAATAGTCGGGTTGTACCACCTATGTATCACCCACTAGTTTTTAGTTTTGGAATAGTCGGGTTGTGCCACCTATGTATACCCACTATCTTTTGAATCGTCGGGTTGTACCATCTATGTATCACCCACTAGGTTTTAGTTTTTAAATAGTCGGGTTGTACCATCTATGTATCACCCACTAGTTTTTGAATAGTCGGGTTGTACCATCTATGTATCACCCACTATCTTTTGAATAGTCAGGTTGTACCATCTATGTATCACCCACTAGTTTGTGAATAGTCGGGTTGTACCATCTATGTTTCACCCACTATCTTTTGAATAGTCAGGTTGTACCATCTATGTATCACCCACTAGGTTTTAGTTTTTAAATAGTCGGGTTGTACAATCTATGTATACCCACTATCTTTTGAATCGTCGGGTTGTGCCATCTATGTATCACCCACTAGTTTTTAAATAGTCGGGTTGTACCATCTATGTATCACCCACTAGTTTTTAAATAGTCGGGTTGTACCATCTATGTATACCCACTATCTTTTGAATCGTCGGGTTGTACCATCTATGTATCACCCACTAGTTTTTGAATAGTCGGGTTGTACCATCTATGTATACCCACTATCTTTTGAATCGTCGGGTTGTACCATCTATGTATCTATGTATCTATGTGGCTTACAGGTTACAAATACGGTCCATAATTCCAAAAAACCCGGCTTGATTCGACTGCAGGCGATTTGGTAGCCTACCGTTTTGCGCTGATTTAGACAACGTTATCGATAGCTGACCGAATGTTGAATGTTGAATTAAGAATCGACATCATAGCACTCGGGACACTCCTATGAGCGCTCCGTCCCCATCTTCAGCAGCAAACGAAGAGTTTCAATTCCGATGGCACCAGTAGCTATCTGATTGTATTTGTATATCCGTCTCGCCTTTCCCTTTAGTGTTGAGCATTGAACAGATCCCCTGGCAACTCCTCGCAGTGTCATTCTCCTGAGACCGCATTGATCTATTTGCGCTTCCGCACTGTTCACTTGCTCCCAGAGGGCCCTCACAACATCTAGCGTGTCCTACATTATTTCATCACCAAGTGGTGCAGAACCGGCCAGTCTAATTGTCTGCTCATTTTCTAATCACCCGCATAACCTGGTAATAGCGGACCGCTGAGTCAGTGATGGCAAACTACTGAACGTTAAAATGTTCCAGCAAAACAAAAGCCGGCAGATGCTGAGGTTGGCTTCCAAAATCCTGTAAAGGACATGCAAGCAACTCTTTGTTGAGCTACAAACAAAATGAAACTCGGTATTTGGAGGAAACAACAGTAGCAACATAAAATACCTACCACAACTTTGGACGTTCTTTTCTGTCAGCCGTTTAGTAGCAATTCTGATGGCTGTTCTCAGGTACATTTCTGAGTCACAGCGCAGCTCCTCCACGCAGGTCAGACTTCTTCTAGCTGAGCTAACACACACACACAAGTGTACATTAGTCATAGATGGTAGTCAGTTATAGAGACACAGACAAGTGTACATTTGTCATAGATGGTAGTCAATTATAGAGACACAGACAAGTGTACATTTGTCATAGATGGTAGTCAATTATAGAGACACAGACAAGTGTACATTTGTCATAGATGGTAGTCAATTATAGAGACACAGACAAGTGTACATTTGTCATAGATGGTAGTCAATTATAGAGACACAGACAATTGTACATTTGTCATAGATGGTAGTCAATTATAGAGACACAGACAAGTGTACATTTGTCATAGACGGTAGTCAATTATAGAGACACAGACAAGTGTACATTTGTCATAGATGGTAGTCAATTATAGAGACACAGACAAGTGTACATTTGTCATAGATGGTAGTCAATTATAGAGACACAGACAAGTGTACATTTGTCATAGATGGTAGTCAATTATAGAAACACAGACAAGTGTACATTTGTCATAGACCGTAGTCAATTATAGAGACACAGACAAGTGTACATTTGTCATAGACGGTAGTCAATTATAGAGACACAGACAAGTGTACATTTGTCATAGATGGTAGTCAATTATAGAGACACAGACAAGGCATATGCCATGTTTCTAACTTATCTTCAGACAATTATTTACAAAATCCAAGTCACTGTTTACATCACCCCAGATACATACACACCCGCGCCTCATATGTTTTAAACAATCCCTAACAATGTGAATTTAAACCCATGACTACGCCGCACCTGGCAGGTAAGAGTTCTAGTCACGCGTGTATAGAGGGCAGTGTTTTAACCGATAATCTTTGATGAATATACAGCCTATATTCAAGATCGTAGGCTTACATGTCGCCAGTAAACATTGCATTCATAAACAATACAACAGTTTGATCGGCGTCTGTGGCTTAGGCGTTGCGGACGCCCTTCGTAATGCCGGGGTGCCGAGTTCGATCCCGGCTGCGGACGATTTGTCTTGCCTTGGTTTCGACAGTAGTTCCCAGAGTTGACCGTTCAGGGGACAGTGGCAAACTACTGTACGTCAAAATGTGCCTAGAAAAACAACAACAGCAAAAAAATGCGGGGGTTGGTTCTGCAACGTCCTGTAAAGGATACGCAAATAACTTAAACAACAGTTTGGGATGTACCTTGTGAAAACAATATCAGTAACTGCCTTCAATGTTGCCTATCTAGTTTCAAATAGTGGTGACTCTGAAACTCTTAGTGACCATTTCGTCTCGCATAAGTCTTCATGCAGTCACTCACAGAAGTGAGGCAACGAGGCTCATGCAGTCACTCACAGAACTGAGGCAACGAGGCTCATGCAGTCACTCACAGAAGTGAGGCAACGAGGCTCATGCAGTCACTCACAGAACTGAGGCAACGAGGCTCATGCAGTCACTCACAGAACTGAGTTAACGAGGCTCATGCAGTCACTCACAGAACTGAGGCAACGAGGCTCATGCAGTCACTCACAGAACTGAGGCAACGAGGCTCATGCAGTCACTCACAGAACTGAGGCAACGAGGCTCATGCAGTCACTCACAGAAGTGAGGCAACGAGGCTCATGCAGTCACTCACAGAACTGAGGCAACGAGGCTCATGCAGTCACTCACAGAACTGAGGCAACGAGGCTCATGCAGTCACTCACAGAACTGAGGCAACGAGGCTCATGCAGTCACTCACAGAACTGAGGCAACGAGGCTCATGCAGTCACTCACAGAACTGAGGCAACGAGGCTCATGCAGTCACTCACAGAAGTGAGGCAACGAGGCTCATGCAGTCACTCACAGAACTGAGGCAACGAGGCTCATGCAGTCACTCACAGAGCTGAGGCAACGAGGCTCATGCGGTCACTCGCAGAACTGAGGCAACGAGGTTCATGCAGTCACTCACAAAATTGAGGCAAGGAGGCTTATGCAGTCACTCACAGAACTTAGGTAATGAGGCTCATACAGTCACTCACAGAACTGAGGTAATGAGGCTCATGCAGTCACTCACAGAACTGAGGTAATGAGGCTCATGCAGTCACTCACAGAAATGAGGCAACGAGGCTCGTGCAGTCACCCACAGAACTGAGGCAACGAGGCTCATGCAGTCACTCACAGAACTGAGGTCATGAGGCTCATGCAGTCACTCACAGAACAGGTGATGAGGCTCCTGCGGTCACTAACATAACTGAGGTAATGAGGTTCATGCAGTGTCACTCACAGAACTGAGGTAATGAGGCTCATGCAGTCATTCACAGAACAGGTGATGAGGCTCCTGCGGTCACTCACAGAACTGAGGTAATGAGGCTCATGTAGTCATTCACAGAACAGGTGATCAGGCTCCTGCGGTCACTCACAGAACTGAGGTAATGAGGCTCCTGCGGTCACTCACAGAACTGAGGTAATGAGGCTCCTGCAGTCACTCACAGAACTGAGGTAATGAGGCTCATGCAGTCACTCACAGAATTGAGGTAATGAGGCTCCTGCGGTCACTCACAGAACTGAGGTAATGAGGCTCCTGCGGTCACTCACAGAACTGAGGTAATGAGGCTCATGAGGTCACTCACAGAACTGAGGTAATGAGGTTCATGCAGTGTCACTCACAGAACTGAGGTAATGAGGTTCATGCAGTCACTCACAGAACTGAGGTAATGAGGTTCATGCAGTCACTCACAGAACTGAGGTAATGAGGCTCATGCAGTGTCACTCACAGAACTGAGGTAATGAGGTTCATGCAGTCACTCACAGAACTGAGGTAATGAGGTTCATGCAGTCACTTACAGAACTGAGGTAATGAGGTTCATGCAGTCACTCACAGAACTGAGGTAATGAGGTTCATGCAGTCACTCACAGAACTGAGGTAATGAGGCTCATGCAGTGTCACTCACAGAACTGAGGTAATGAGGCTCATGCAGTCATTCACAGAACAGGTAATGAGGTTAATGCAGTGTTACTCACAGAACTGAGGTAATGAGGTTCATGCAGTCACTCACAGAACTGAGGTAATGAGGTTCATGCAGTCACTCACAGAACTGAGGTAATGAGGTTCACGCAGTCACTCACAGAACTGAGGTAATGAGGCTCATGCAGTGTCACTCACAGAACTGAGGTAATGAGGCTCATGCAGTGTCACTCACAGAACTGAGGTAATGAGGCTCATGCAGTGTCACTCACAGAACTGAGGTAATGAGGCTCATGCAGTGTCACTCACAGAACTGAGGTAATGAGGTTCATGCAGTCACTTACAGAACTGAGGTAATGAGGCTCATGCAGTGTCACTCACAGAACTGAGGTAATGAGGCTCATGCAGTGTCACTCACAGAACTGAGGTAATGAGGCTCATGCAGTGTCACTCACAGAACTGAGGTAATGAGGCTCATGCAGTCACTCACAGAACTGAGGTAATGAGGCTCATGCATTGTCACTCACAGAACTGAGGTAATGAGGCTCATGCAGTGTCACTCACAGAACTGAGGTAATGAGGTTCATGCAGTCACTCACAGAACTGAGGTAATGAGGTTCATGCAGTCACTCACAGAACTGAGGTAATGAGGTTCATGCAGTCACTCACAGAACTGAGGTAATGAGGCTCATGCAGTGTCACTCACAGAACTGAGGTAATGAGGCTCATGCAGTCACTCACAGAACTGAGGTAATGAGGCTCATGCAGTGTCACTCACAGAACTGAGGTAATGAGGTTCATGCAGTCACTCACAGAACTGAGGTAATGAGGCTCATGCAGTGTCACAGAACTGAGGTAATGAGGCTCATGCAGTCACTCACAGACCTGAGTTAATGAGGCTTTCTTCAAACGCCCGGTCAGAGTCAATTCCAGTTGCGATAGAAACGCCACAAATGAGCCCTAAAACTCCTATTAATGAAAATGTCAAGTGTCAAACATGTCGTACAGAATGTAATCCTGGGAAGGGAAACACATAAAACATGCGCACACGCACACACACACACGCGCGCGCACACACACACACACACGCGCGCGCACACACGCACACACACTTAGCGCATTGAAAATGGAAGGGCAACTTACCTACACACAGTTGATACTTGGTTTGATTGTTGTACAGCTTGCGTGAATTCTATTTGACAATGCTCTGAAGCATTTCGGCATGCTGTTTAAAGTAAGAAGGAATAACAACTGTTATGCGCAATTAACGCCACCTTATACAACGAGAGTCAACGACCTTTTGTGTGTACATCTGATTGAGAAATATGTCAGATATAATCGTTAGTTAGTTAGTTAGTTAGTTAGTTAGTTAGTTAGTTAGTTAGTTAGTTAGTCAGTCAGTCAGTCAGTCGGTCGGTCGGTCGGTCGGTCGGTCGGTCGGTCGGTCGGTCGGTCGGTCGGTCGGTCGGTCGGTCGGTCGGTCGGTCGGTTAGTTAGTTAGTTAGTTAGTTAGTTAGTTAGTTAGTTAGTTAGTTAGTTAGTTAGTTAGTTAGTTAGTTAGTTAGTTAGTTAGTTAGTTAGTTAGTTAGTTAGTTAGTTAGTTAGTCGAGGTTTCAACATCTTCGCAATCGGGTTTCCCCATACTTGCTCCGTTCCTGTACCAGTGCGAATCAAATGAAATGTAACCCACTTTTGCATATAAAAAAACTTGTGAATAAACAACTAGTTCCGGAACAATCCAGAAATTTGTGCACACAGCAAATGCGTATTTCAGTTGCTAGAGGCGACAACGCCATCAATCGCCACCAGAAATGCAGTTTGTCGTTGATGGAAGTAGTCGTGCACGATAAGTTGGTTACTATACACACACGTAGATTTCTTACATAAGGTATTTCACCAACTCACACGTAAACCAGCCACCAGCTATATTGAACAAATCAACACAACAGCTGCATAAATGAAAGGCCATTCCATAGGAAAAAACACAGATCACAGGGCTGAAACCAAGAACTAAACACAGTAGCTGAGGCAACAAAACCGTAGACTACCGTACTTATGTGGAAACTGCATTAGCAAAGCGCTGTCGGAGGCAAAAATAACTGCTAAGCTTAACATTCTGTCAAGCCTTTCCTCCATTTTGGCCGGAAGTCCAAAGTCTTACAATTTACAATATTTAGGATTTAATCAAAGTAATCAATTTGCAGGAATACTGCAGCGGAATGTATGATATGAATGACAGTGACCATATGAATGATATACATAAACCAGTAACAGTAGAGGCAGAACCTGAACCTTCATTAGATGAAATTTCATGGGCAATAAGGAGCCTGAAAAATGGTAAATCACCTGGATGTGATGAGATACCAGCTGAATTGATTAAAGCGGGAGGAGAAGAAAGCATAAAAATCTATCATGCATTATGTGAAAAGATATGGAAATATGGTATTTGGCCAAAAGACTGGAAAAGAACTATCTTCATTCCAATACCAAAAAAGGGTGACCTGAAATTATGTACAAACTATCGAACTATTGCCCTGATCAGTCATGCAAGTAAAATTCTACTAAAAATTATAATGAGAAGACTGCATAAGAAAATGGAAGAAGAGATTAATGTAGCTCAGGCTGGATTTAGACAGGGAAGAGGAACAAGAGATCATATATTCAACATGCGTTTAATAATAGAGAAGTGTAGATAATTTAATGTAAATCTGTTCTTATGTTTTGTGGATTATTCAAAAGCATTTGACTGTGTACAACATCAGAAGCTTTGGGAAATCATGAGGAATATGGGCTTTCCATCACATATAGTGCAGCTCATTAAAATGCTCTATCAAGACCAACAAGCAGCAGTCAGAATAGATGGAGAGACATCAGACTGGTTTGGCATCAAGCAAGGAGTCCGTCAGGGATGTGTGCTGTCACCGTATTTGTTCAACCTGTACGCCGAAAATATAATGAGAAATGTAAGAGATGATATAAACAAGGAACAATATGATGCCCTAAACATCGGTGGTCATGAAATACCAGAAATTCGTTATGCTGATGATACAGTATTACTATCAACATCACAAAATGGTTTAGAAAACTTATTAACTTCACTTCAAAGAAATAGTGAAAATCATAACTTATTTCTTAACATAGCAAAAACAAAGATAATGCATACAAACAAAACTGCCATGGAGAAGGAAATATATGTTAATGAGGAAAGATTGGAAGTGGTGGAAAATTTCGAATATCTTGGGTCACTGGTTACCAACAATGGTGACACAATGAAAGAAATTAAACGGCGACTATCAATTGCTCTTCAAAGACTAAAACAACTGAATAAATTATGGAATTGTGCAGATAGAATTACAAAGGTCAGATTTTTAAGAGCATGCATCTTTCCCATTGCAACATACACATGAGACCTGGACACTTACTAAACAAGCGGAACAGCGCATAAATGCATTTGAATATAAATGTTACAGACAGGTTCTAAGAATATCTTGGGTAAAGAAAAGAACAAATGCATCCATACTTCAAGAGCTGAATATGGAAGAGGGTTGGCTAGTAAAGACAATAAAACAAAGAAAATTGAAATATTTTGGTCACTTGAAACGTCATGGAAGTCTAGAGAGAACAATAATGGAGGGGTATGTGCCTGGGAAGAGAGGAAGAGGAAGGCCAAGGAGAAGATGGGTGCAGGATGTGGCAGATGATCTCCAGATGGGTGTATCAGACGCAGGACATCTTGCTCAGGATAGGAAGGTTTTCCGGAGGGTTGTTATGGCAGCGAGGTTCCGCGAGGGACATGCTACTGAATGAATGAATCAATTTGTAATGGTGGGGTTCAGGAGGGTGCTCCCTCCGATCCTATATTGTCAAGTTATTCAGGTATTTATCTCTGTATATTTTTCTTTTTCTCTGCCTCCGAATTTGCTAGCTGTCACTATCTTTTCAAGTCTATTTCTAATTATAACATACTTAAAAACTTGTAAACTGTCTACTGTGTATTTCTCAATCAAATTAGCTTTCATATGTGCCTTTGGGAATTGCAAGTTTGATTTTGTTTTCAAATAAAGTGAGGTGAACAATGAAAGCAATCAATCATCATCCATTCTCTTTATGCCTAGTAGCACATGATGCTTCAGAGAGGACTTTCCATGCTTTCCTGTCCTGTGCATTCGTCAGTGCAGTTTTCCATGTCAGAGATACCGCACTAAGGTCACTTTCTATTGTTAGTCTCCGTGTTGTTTTTGAGCGCGCCTTCTTTATCTTTCCCTTTTGTGAAAAATGCTTTGGCAGGTAAAACAGGATTAATTCTCATAACGTGGCCAAGCCATTTCCATCATCTCTTGGTTATCATACTGTCTAGAGTTTCTTGGTTTGCGAAATGAAAGCAATGGTTTGTAAAAATTAATCACCCACAGTCAGACAAATAGCTAGAAATTAAGTGGATACTGCAAAGACTTGGCTTAATAAACGCATTTTGAGAATACTCTCTAAAGATTAGTTCCATGCCGTGCTATGAAGCAGAGATGCGGCGCCATAAAAGGCGGCATAAGCAGCGAAATAAAAATACAAATGGTTCTTTATTAATGTCCTACCCCCAGATGACGTCACGTGACAGTCCAACATTTTAGAGGGTGGTAAGACTGGGTTTTCCGGCTTCCTGATGCTTTAAACGACCCTGAAACATCTAGAACTGGCCTTAACCCCAACCCAACTAGGTCCTACGAGAGAGGGCAGACTAGGTCCCACAACTGCATGCCTTCTAGGTCCCACGACTGCATGCAGCCTAACTACCACACACTAAAATATTAGACTGTCCCGTGACCTGTGGATATTCCCCGTTTGGGGTAGAATAATAATAAAGCACTATACAATTTGAACTGTTGATCTGTCAGCGGGAAGCTATAAGGGGTGGCATTTCGAAGATTTGCTTAAAATGTTGTGTACATTACTTTGTCCCACCGTCGGACCTAATTTTAAAGTTGTTGTTTTAAAAACCCATCCTGGCTGTTGCCGGGGGCCCTAATATAACCCAGCTTGTGAGTTAAACAGGGTTTCTGGGACCTGTCCCCGGGTGATTCTCATCCTCTTTTTGTCATTGGGTGTTTATAGCTCCGTGTGATGCCCTGGTGATGTTGAGCGTCAGTCAGTCAGAAGATTTGCCTTATACTATGAACATCTGCCGCACGGGACTGGATAGATAACATGTACAGATATAATATTTTAAAAGCATAGAAAATGCGTTAAGGCAACCAAGTCGTTACTAGTAAGTAACCGAATATTTCAACAACAAAAAACAACAACCAAAAAACAACAAATAGAGTAAGGTAAAAACATTCAGAAGAAAACTGAATTTAAAAGAACAGTACAAGGGATAAATTAAGGAAAACATATCAGACAGGCAATAGTTTTACATCTTTTATTAAAAAAAAAAAAAAACGAGTACTCGCATAAAGCGTCTATTACAGTATATTACAAAAAAAATGATTTCTTACAAAAAGTACGTATGGCTAAAGGGGGGGGGGGGGGGGTTTGGTTTAGGGGGGGGGGGGGGACAGCAGACATGCAAGGATTGATCAGTAAAAGCATACTTGGAACTATAATAAACACACCAGGTAAAAAACTTTCGAATTAAATATGGTCGGGAAACCTCGGGGTCAGATCCGTATTTTTGACAGAAAGGTCAAATTGTCACTTTCGTGCTAGCGGCGCTTCGGTCACATGAACATATACCCAGCCATAATTTTACAGATCAGTTGGTACTCAGTATTATCGTACACTGCACTTAGTGGCTTATGTAATCAAAATCACGCCGACCTCCTTTACTTTCCGTAACATGCACCTATTTTATATGGGGTCAACCTGGGAGAGAAACAAGGTAGGGGGGGGGGGATGCAGATCTAAACCTTAGACCTTCGGGCCACCAGGGGAGCGTCTAGTTCTACACAACCGTGGCCTCCCGGGAAATGTATTATAGAAGTTAAATTTGCTGTAAACCAAACAAAAGAATAATTTTAGAGACTGACACAATTTTTCCAGTCTCTGACAGTTGGTATTGGAAGGCGGGGGGGGGGGGGGGGGGGGGGGTATTAACAGCTACGCGGCGACAATCTTTATATGTGAAAGTAAATAATGGACGATGAACCGACTGGTGGGGAATTGTGGGATATTCTTGGGCTGTGGTTTTCTAGAAGAATGATAAGAACGTCGTGAACAGATAAAAGTGCAATGAAAATATCTTGACATTTGAACGAGAAAAGGCCAGTCCACATACATATCCTGTGGGCACATCATAAAAATAGGAAAAGTGAAATACGTCAATATAAGGAGAAAGTTATAAGGGAAGAGAGGCAGGGCGTTTAAGAGAGAAGGTGTTGGATACTCTGGCATCATGGTATGGAAGAATGTGTTTCGGATATGACTGAAGTGTACCGACAGACTGGTGACAAACACCTCAAAGAATGGGCTATTAAATGAAGATTTCAAAGAGATTAACAGGAGCAGGGGTTGTATGAATGAGACAATGAATCTAAAAGATGAAAAGGAGGGACGAAATTGGTCAAGAAAGAAGTATGCAAGGTAACTGGCGACAATGTGGATAGAACATGGCTAGGAGAATGAAGAATTTAAGAAGAATGAGGAGAATGTAAACGAAACAATACACATTTAAGTAATGGTTTGCTTACCTTCTGGCGTCAAGGCCATCGCGCCGGAGATTGCTGAAGAAAGTGAACAAACATGTTACATATTAAATATCAAATATACAAATTATTAACGTCTATTATAATGATAATCTCCACATTTACCTAGTTTATTTCTTTGCAAGAATCTATCTATTATTAATAATGATGTCAGTGCATCAAGGCCAACAGAAAGATAATACATGTACATAATAACAATTCCTTTAAAAGCGTACTAGTAATAAATTTCCAAATTCATACATGTTGTAGAAAAATGAAATAAAAAGTGAAGTAACCTTTATCTTTAACTCTTTCAGGCGTCGGGAATTTTGTGCCTGTATGTATATGTATGTAAGTTATACTTCACCAGGACATCATACAAAACGATAAACATCCGGTGACACAAAGTCCCAACACACGGATGAGGATCACCCGTGGACAGGTCCCCGAAACCCTGTTCAGCCATTAGGGCACATTTATGGCCCGGCTATATTTAGGGACCCGGAAAAGCCAGAAAGGGGCTTCAAATAACGAAAAATTGCATCCCACATGGGGACGACTTGCAAAGCAAGCTCCAAAGTCCAAGGACACCCCCCCCCCCCTTTTTTTCTCCCCCTTTTTTTATAGCCGTGCGTACTCCATTTCAGGAAAGTTACAAGTCTGTTGGTTTTATTCTGAGGTAGAAATTCTTCGACTTCGAAGAAAAACTGCGTAATTATTCGTCTTTTACGACATACTTGTTATGGCGCAGTGGGTCTACCTTTCCCTCAATGAGACCCTGGAACCCATCATCATCATGTAGCAGGTCTCTAACAGAACGTCGCTCTCATCACGGTCTGCCGGAAAGAAACTCGGTCTCTCGACAGCTCTTCCACCCCGTGTACTTTCATATTTGAGGCGTCACTTATATCCCTTGCCCATCTTCGTGTTGATCGGCCCCTGCCCCTTCTTCCTGGTACCAGACAAAAACAGCTCGTTTTAGCAAAAGTCGGTATGGGCATGGGATTTCATAACCATTGTTACTATCGCATTTATCTATCATACTTAAACCATATTTGCACTATTGTTTAAAAAAAGCCACTTCTCCTCCACCTCCTCTTCTTCTTCTTCTTCTTCTTCTTCTTCTTCTTCTTCTTCTTCTTCTTCTTCTTCTTCTTCTTCTTATTCTTCTTATTCTTCTTCTTCTTCTTCTTCTTCTTCTTCTTCTTCTTCTTCTTCTTCTTCTTCTTCTTCTTCTTCTTCTTCTTCTTCTTCTTCTTCTTCTTCTTCTTCTTCTTCTTTCTTCTTCTTCTTCTTCTTCTTCTCTTCTTCTTCTTCTTCTTCTTCTTCTTCTTCTTCTTCTTCTTCTTCTTCTTCTTCTTCTTCTTCTTCTTCTTCTTCTTCTCCTCCTTCTTCTTCCTCTTCTTTTTCTTCTTCTTCTCATCCTTCTCCTTCTCCTCCTCCTCCTCCTCATTCTTCTTTTCTATAACAACAAAAACAAGAACAAGAACAACTACTACTACGTCTACTACTACTACTACTACTACTACTACTACTACTACTACTACTACTACTACTACTACTACTACTACTACTACTACTACTACTACTACTACTACTACTACTACTAATGCTACTACTACTGCTGCTGCTGCTACTACTACTACTACTACTTCTTCTGCTACTACTACTACTACTACTACTACTGCTGCTGCTGCTACTACTACTACTACTACTACTGCTGCTGCTGCTGCTGCTGCTGCTACGTACATACTTAAAGCGGTATGCTTTTTAAGGAACAGTGGGCCGATTCCCCCCCCCCCCCTCCCTACACGCCCCAGTAGTGTCCAGGAACCCACACGATGGATCATCTTGACCTATGTACAAGCAGCAAAGAATTCAAAAACAGCAATGCTTACCCGTTAGCAACACCAGGTACCTCAGGGATGACTCCATTCTTGTTCAAAAAATTTAATTTGAAGGCAACAGCCAACCGGATCCTGATACAAGAATAAGTGAACTAGTCAGTTTGTTGCAGACGTCCACCCAGCAGACTGAAGAGTGTAAACTCCAAGGGCTGGCTACCTTTGTGTGTACATTACCTTCCCAATTAAACAGCAGCTCACTGTCAGAGTCAACAAAGGCTTTCATCTGTCATTGGTGCAGGGTGGGTCATGGCATTTTTGTCATACTGTACTCTTGGTTTCGGTACAGTTTTAAAGCTGATGTGTGTTTGAGACTCTCTCTCTCTCTCTCTCTCTTCTCTCTCTCTCTCTCTCTCTCTCTCTCTCTCTGTGTATGTGTGTGTTCGTTACAATATTAGCTTTAACGTGGGCTGGCGATATGTGTGCGTGTGTGTGTGTGTTCTTTAGCATTTTAACGTTGACGCATGTCTGGGTCTGCGTGTGTGTGTATCCTACGTCACAAGAAGGAGACAACTGGAATACACCTTGGCGGTGGGAAAGTGACTACAAAAAAAAAAGGAAAAGAGCGATCGAAATAGAAGACGATAATGGCAGGTCTGAAAAAAATCATGGCATGGAAGATCATCTGTGACAAACATGATTAAGAATACACGATGCACATTGTAGTGTCAGACAGGACTACCAACCACTGGCCAGGTTTGCATAAAACATTTTTGCTTAGACTTTCCACTAACAAGGAATGTGGAATTAAGAATCGACACCACTGCACTCGGGACACTCCCATGATCGCTTCCTCCCCATCTTCAGCAGCAAGCAAAGAGTGTCACAGTTCCGATGGCACCAGTTACTGTCTGACTGTATATCCGTCTCGCCTTTTCATTAAGTGTGGAGCGTCGGTCAGATCCCCTGGTAACTCCTCGCAGCGCCATTCTCCTTCGAACCCAATGAACTATTCGTTCGTCTACTGCCAAGGACAATTTATTTTACTGTTTATTATTACTGTTTATTGTTTACTACAAATACACTACTCCGTTTTGGAGTCGACGTGGTTTAGCGGCTAGACGCTCGCCTGCAAATCGGAAGGTCCTGGGTTGGGGTCTGACGGAGTCTGACTTTTTTCAGAAATGACCTTGGCTCCCAGGTCGACCCAACCTTGAGTGGGTACCGGGTGCAGTCCTGAGAAGTAAGGCGGTCGGCGTGATGCTGACCACATCACCCACCAAGTGCCGATTGGTCTAGAAAATATATTTCTAGCCCTATATGCACAGTACGTCTAAAAGCGTGGGGAAAATGCCATTACTTTACTTCCACCACTCCGTTTACTCTCGGACTTAGCGAAAAGAACGCTGGTTGCATACTAACGTCACTCATGCATAAACTGCGAGCTTGAAACTACTAGTTATTAATACTACGATGCTAGCTGTGATTGTATATTCTCAACAGCTAATCGACAAAATAAAATCACGCGATACCCTTTCCATTGTAACCGTTATATGCTAACACTTGCACACGCGAATTGATCACACCTGGTCCCTGTTACCAACGTCTAATATTTGGTTCACAATTTAGCATCTCTTTTTGTGTTATTAAGTATTTAGTGCAGTTTCACAATTTAACAATTCAGCAAAGTATTCCTTCTATCTGTTACATATTTCCTCACTAATATTTATCATATTCTCATTGTGATATTTTAAATCACATATGCTGTGTTGATGCACTGGTTTTACAGATTTTAGATATTTAAATTAAAAAAATCTTTGTCTGTATTTATTGTTCTGATGGTTAGCTTCTATACCCATGGCATTATTGTTTATGTCTTCTCGCTTTTGCTGCCCTACAATTTTTATAGCTTCTTTATATTCTGTTGTATATTATTCGTAATTTCGTACGTTGCGAGTATCATTAAGCTAAATTTGCATTTGGCATGTTTTTTTTTTTTTTTCTATTACTGATCTCTTCTTCAATTTTTTTTTTTGTTTTTTGTCGAACTTTCTTTTTTTCTGTTTATGTTTGACACGACAAGACATGCTTCTGCTAGCTCACCTTATATTTAATCAGAACTGAAATTATCTGTCCATCACTGATGTACTATTTATGTCTGTAACTAAACTTCAAATGTTTACGCTCGTCCAAACAGGAAACTTAATCAAATAGGATTTGACAAAATGACAAGAACAATTGTAAACGTATTAACAAAATATTTCGAAATAAAACTGAAAAAGAAAAGCTTGAACATCAAATAAACTAGAATGTTAAACTACAACAAAAGACACGAAAGAGAACCATTTACCAATTGTCTGGGCGGACATTCTTACACAAGCTTTCTGAAACTGAAACAAAAGCGGGCTTGAACAATCAGGTCAAATGGTATACTGATAAAAACAATAAACGCATACCTACTGAAAGGAACATACGTACCTACTATTTTAAAAACTTACATTCCTTGTAACGCAAAAAGTGAAATTACTCTAATTTCACACAAGAATACATTAGGATTCCATCAATCAATTGACAATTTTTGTTTGCATCTGGGTTACGATAATTTTAGGCGTACGGCTTTTTCCGTTAGTATGTGTGTGTGCCTCCTCTTGCGTGGATCATTGACTTTGCATCTCTTAGATGCCCACTCTTCCTGGTGTGCCTGGAACAGATCACGACCATTGGCTGGAGCAACGGCTCGGCAACAAACGTATTTGCAGTTCATCCCCCAGGTGCTCAATTGGACTCATGTCTGCAGACAGGGATGGACATGGATGGGTTTGAATGTTTTTGTCAGCCAGGAATTACGTGGTTAACCGTGCAGAATGGGGATCCGGCGTTGTCCTGTCGAAAAAGATATCTGTTGGCATCGCAAAATGGAAGGACATTTTAGGGTGGAGGATATAAAACATGTATTGCAAAAAGCAAAGGACACTGTGCCTGGGCCAGACGGAGTCAGGGATGCCCACTTGAAGAGCATGAGTGATGAAGACTTGAGGGAGTTGGCTTTTTACTTCAACCAGAGCATCAGAACAGCTTCAGTACCCCAGGAATGGGTACACAGTTATCTAATTCCACTTCCAAAACCAGGCAAAGATCATTCCAAACTCAGCGGTTTCAGGATTTTCACCCTACAAAATACTTTTGGCAAGGTGCTAGAGAAGATTATTGCTGTTAAACTACAAAAGTTTTTGGAAAGGGAAGAGCTCCTGCCAAAAGGTTTGGGTAGTTACCGGCCTCAGGAAGATACCTGGTCCAATGCAGCTACTTTTGCTTTTGATGTTTATGAGGGGTTCCAGAACAGACAGGAGACAGTTGTGGCAGCACTTGATCATGAGGATGCCTACAATAGAGACTCTTCGCTTGTTGCTGAAGATGGGGACGGAGCGCTTATGGGAGTGTCCCGAGTGCTATGATGTCGATTCTTAATTCAACAAGGATCGTGTGTGCTCTTTTCTTTTCGAATGCATTGTACATGTTGGTGTTCATTTCTGTTAGGTTGCTCGTGGTGGTGTCGCTCCATTTCTTGCTTGGTATTTCCCTTGCTCTGTGTTTACTATATTCCTTCAGCGTGGCTCTCTGTCGCAGTTGGTACCAGGACATTCTCGTCAGGTGGCCAAACCATCTCATTTGTTGTTCTTTAATGAATTGTATGACTGGTTTCAGTCTTAGTCTTCTTCTAATTTCTTCATTCCTTGTGTTATCTCTTCTTGTCACACAGGAAGCTCTCATCACTAATGTTACGATCTTCCGCTCATTAGTTGTAGCAAGCGTCCATGTTTGGCACCTGAAGCACAATGTCAGTAAACCAAAATGGAGACGCCATGATTGCTGTTGCATTGGAGCAAGAATTGGCCGCACTGGTGTGTTATGATGTCGAGACCGGCAATAAAGTAATCAGTTTGTATTTGTTTATTACACTACCATTGGTGTGGTGTCTGAATGTGTGTGATTTGTTACATTAACTTTGGTGAGAATTCTGCCTTGCCAGTGTGTTTCCGTGTCAGTGCAGTACTCATCATCCATCCATTTGTGACAAATAAAACAAAACATCGACCAAGTTCAACATACTACGGTATCGGTTACAACGGTGGTCTGGTTTCTTTGTGCCAATTATGTTGGCTAAGAAATGTTATTTGCACAAAAACCAGGGGCGTGAACCGGTACTCTGGTACCTATTGAGGCTTGTTTGCGAGGGAGCTGGTACACACTAAACACACCCACGTATATATTTAGACATACATTTGAGTTTTGTGTTTTTTTTTTTTTGAGCCAGCGGACGTGTGTGTGAATTTATACGTGTGTTTCTGCGTTTGTTGCCATATTAGGTCGACCACGAAAGAGATGGACAAATGGACTGTCAGAGTCCGGAAATACCAGCCTCTACATAGCACATACCAAGGGTCGCACTCGATAGCTCCTCAGAACCTGATGCTGAAAGGCAGAATATAAGTAGAGAGGAAATAATGAATTCATTGCATTGTTCACAGTTCTACAATACTTTTACACTTCCCCAAACCACCGACATCTCACTCCATTTGCTGTCGCGCTGTACAAGAGGTACTGGGTATGTCAACTAGCATACAGGTATCGACTATGGCCACCTGAGCCATGTTTAAGCCAGATAAACGAAGGGAGGTGGTGATGGAATTCAGCAGTGGTTGCTCACGTAAACTCCGACACGATCAGTGCACATTTAAAATGTTACTACCTGTGCCGGTTTTTTTTTTTAAACAGATTCTTCTTCTGCGTTCGCCCTCAGCTCTTTTGGTACCAGCAAAAGACATCGTTATCATCGTCATCATCAAGCGCTTTGCTGGTTGACGTGGGCGGTCATGCCTCTCTGAAATCTGCGATCGTCAACAGCATGTATGAGTTTGTACGTTGACAAAATATCCTCTGACTTGCTGCATCATCATAAACCATTTCAACCGTTAAGTAGCGTGGGGAGGAATACTTTGAGATCAAGTGAACGTTGGCTGACACTAGTTATTGTTACGCTGTGAAGTTATTAACCAACGGTTCTCAACCTTTAAGTCGCGACTCTTTCAC